AACAAAATGTCGCATATTTTTTTAACATTTTTCCAGCCCTGCTCTACCCAAAAGGAAAACGCAACCGGCAACTTTGAGTGCCAGCCAGCGACTGCTGGCATTTCCACGAAGGCAGCTCGTTTTTAAGCGGCAAAATTGCGTATAAGAGTGGAAAATACTGGGAACGGCTGAAGCGCGCAGTAAGTAAGTAATTTTAGCTAATGAAATTTACTTCTGTGGCCATTGTCAAGGAATTTCTGCCATAGCTTAGTTTTTACATAAAGTAGAGCATTTCCATTTTGGAAAAAAGTTCGAAAATAAGTTGCAGAAAAAATGCTACAGAATATACACTATTAAGTTCATAATAAACTACATTATTGCACAACTTTAGAAGGCCACTGAGGACTGTTAGGTGCGGCAATTACTTGTATATCAAATGATTTAAGTCAAAGTATGAATGGATTCGAAATATGCGCCCAAATTGAAATCAAACCAAGTTGTGCGGCCTCTTCAGCTCGGCCTCGTTCTCTCAATATTTGTAAAACATTTTTAATTTCTCCTCACTTCGGCAAAGCCAAAATTCACAAGGAGCCGGCTTCTTTCTTTGTCTTCGTTTTTTTCTTCATTTTCTTTTTTTTTTTTTGCGACTGGTGGCTTTGGCGCTTTATTTGAGTTACGTGACCCTGCACCATTGAGAGCTGGGAAATTTCTTGCGACATGAACATGGCACACACGATGGGCGTATGTGCCCCGAAAGCAACATGCAACATACGTACTTACTAGCCAAATACCACCCAAAACCGTCCAAAGCCACCCATTTTGCCACCCCTTTGTTTGACTTGTTCGTTTGTCTGTCTGTCTGTGTGTGTGTGTGTGTGTGGGTGTGTGAGGGAGAGGGGCGCGGTGGGCGGTGGGCGGGATTCCTGTGTCCAACAGCCGTCCTTCTGCCGCCTCGTCCTTCGTCCTTCGTCCTTTGGCCCGTCGCTGTGCGAGCTTGTTAAGTTCATTAAGGTTGAATAATAACAACAGTAACTACATTTTAAAGGAGTTGTCAGTTGTCAGGAGCGTGGCCACCCATGCCCTATCCATACAGTGAAGCCTGCCTTAATGTGTTTTAAATGGTTTCAATGCATTGGCCTATAGCCAACATTTTTTATGCGGCTACATGTAATGTAAGTAGGTAAAGTAAGTGAGCGGCCTGAGAAGAAACCTCGAAATGATGGCTGGTTTTTGGCCAGGTTTTTCATTTGGTGTCCCCACTGTAGCCCTGCCGTGACGTTCAGGTGTCTTGGCTTTCTGCCCGCTGTGCGCTCGCCTTGACTTCACTCATGTTGTTAACTGCTCTTATTACAACTTATTCTACTTATGCGCTCCTTGTTTGTCAACAACAACGGCAACAACAAATGTAAGGATACCAAAAAAAAAAAAAAAAAGAAAAGGAACACAACCTGTAACCGAGTCCTTGTGGCCCCGTGTGCGCCGAGTTAAAGGTGCATTTACATCGGGTAAGAACTCTTTATTTTTTAATACTTGGCCACAAGCGTACGAGTATATGTACGTACATACATCTTTCTATATTTTTTTTGCCGGGTATTACTTTTTGTTCGCTCTGGGGTGGCTGCAGTGGAGTGAAGCTAATCCCAGTCCGCCGCTTTCCTGTTTGTCTGCCGCGGGCCCAGCATCCAAAACATCTTCCGAGTGGAAGCAACATGGGCGGCCGGCGATTCCTCGACATGTGTGTTGGCGTTGGCGTTGGCGTTGGCGAAAAAAAGCGAGATGAAAATAATCAAGTTTCCGACAAACATCAACATGACGCCAAGATAAAAAGCTTCCAGGATGCGCTGGCATCGCTCAGCCACTGCAGGACAAGATAAGACACATCATCAGGAGTAGCGGATGCACTGAGAGAAACACACCGATTGCCGCCACTTTGCACATATTTCTGGTGAGTAAGTGTATCTATAAATGGAAAAATATATGAGTTAAGCCATTTATAGTTAGTTTTTTGGCACATTTAATTCAGCTTCATGTATTTTAACAAGCAACTTGATATTTTTAGTGCAGCTGCAGGACTACAAGTTGGTCCATTTCCAGGACTTGGCTTGAAATTGGCTGGCTGCTGCTGTTGCAGGAGGGTGGTGGGTGGGTGGTATTTTCCCGGCTGTGGGTTCAAGTGTCAGCCCTTGCCATCTCCTACTGCTTCTTCTTCGTTCGGCCTTGTGGCAGCCTCAAGTTGTGTTCGTGTTTGCTTTGAAAAGTATATTGGATTGCCCTAGCCACAAATACCCATATGTCTGCTCATCTATCCATCTATATCTATATCCTTATATGTACATATATATATATATCTCATATATATATATATATTAGCCTGCTAGCCAAAGGCCGCCTGCTGCTGACGTTGAAATGTTTCCACTTCTTTGGGAGGCTGTTTTTTTGTTTTGCCCCACCTTGCTTTGTTTTTAATTTCGTGTCTATACAAATATTTTCAATCGTTTGCGGTGCAAAATTTTATTTATTTTTTTTTCAAGGCTCACAAACAAAGCCACTTTAAATGTTAAACAAAATTATAACTGAGTTCGTGGGCGGAAAGTAGAAAAGAGGTTAGTTGAACACACATGTCGAACACATGAAAGGAGTTTAAGGATGGGGCTTTCGAGGGGTGAAGAATAGAGTGTGGCGCTGTTTGAATTTCTGCTGAAGTTAACATTTTTATAATTCCATTAAGCGAACGGTCGTGTCTCTATCTCCCTCGCTCCCTCGCTCCCCCACTCTCTACCATGTGTAACATGAGGATTTTCCCACTCACACTCGCACACAAAGGCAAAACGGCCGTACAAAGTTGGTCCGAAAAGTTTTTGCATTCATAAATCATTTCCCTCTTTTTTTGTGCCAGCCTCACCTTCACATCCACGTTTAAAGGTGGAAAATACTTTTCGCTGAATTCGTAGAATTTCTCAGGGGCGGGGTGCTCATGTTTCATATGCCATAAAGGGGTTTAAAGGGGTTTGAAGGGGCTTGAAGGGGCTGAGAGTGGAGCGGGGGCAGCATGGACTTTGGCAAAATGTGGGCAACGTTAAGTTGCAACTTGTTGCCTTCTTGGTTACACGACGCCAATCCACCTCCCACCCGTGCGTCCTGGCATATCCTTGTCATTTTTAATTTATGCGCAAGCCAAGCTTGAACTTTCGCAAAACTTAAGGAACAAATGGTGGGTGGGCTATGGAAAAGTGGTTGTGTCTTGTTTATTGCCTTTGGCTGCTAATTTAATTGGACCCATGATTGGGATTTTCTTTTGTTTTGTCCTAATCGTGCTATGGGTATGAAACAGAGCAAGAGATATGACGAATAGGTTAAGTCGAATCAACTTTGTTTGGTGCCCGAAGAAAAGAAATATGTGGCTGCGGAAATGAGGCACGAAAATGGGGTACAACTGCTAACAAGCAGCATAATTACAGTTTACAAAACATGATCACACATACGAGTATGTGTGCAGTTTTCCGCAGCTGCTTTGCCACCAACTCTTTCCATATTCCATTTTCCATTTTCCATCCACTTCAGCACTCCTTTTCTCTAGTGACTTTTGCATACTTTTTGGAAAAGTTTTAATTTTCGAACTTTTGTCGCTTGCCTGGCATATGGTCCATGCTCTTTGCTCTTTACTCCTCACTCCTTACTCTGTGCTCCTTACTCCGTACTCCTTCTGCCAATCTCAACTTTCCGCACTTTCCCCTCGATTGGCCCAATCTGATGACGTCTTATTAGGCAAATGAAAAGCCGCAAAGTTTTTCCTCGAGAGTCACTCGAGCCATGTGGCTTTCCAGAAGGACTCGGCAAGCTGGGATTTTCTTAAATATCGTTTTGCATCTCATATTCTGTTCCCTTTTGCCCGGTTCTTTATCGCTTTGTTTATAAAAGTCACCCACTAATTGCATACATACATAGGTAAGGGTGGGGATTGTGGTGGAAAGTCGGCAAAAAAGGGGGGTCGGAAAGGGGGATAAGGCGGAGATAAGCGTGCGTGTGAAAAGTTGCCTGGACCCCAAGGGCACTGAAAAAAAATCAATCTATTTGCACAAGCCCTTGACTCCAATATCACTGCATTCGAAACTACAAATGGGAGCGATATTAATAAATCAGTGATATTTATACCGGAAGGGTAAACTCAATTCTCTCAGTGTACTGTGTGTGCATTCATGCATGCAGCTGGTGCTGTTGCGGCGAGGGGCGTGGCACCGGCGCGGCGTTGAGTGGGCGTTTCGGACATATCGCATATCGTTTTTACCCGGCCAACAGTACCGCATTTGCATTTATATGCACATCCTTTGTGCCCAAAGGATATTACATTTTTCCACTTCAAGCATTTTTGTGAATTTAATGAAATTTTTAATTTTTATGCGCGCCAGATGGGCGTGAAGTGTGGACAGAGCGGGCGGTGCGGGCGGTGCGGGTGGTGCGGGTGGTGCGGGCTAGGGGGGGGCGTGGCAGCGCCTCCTTTCGGTTGGACTAACAAGCCGCAGAGATATGTATGCTGCATTTGCTTTGCATTCTCGGTGGGTCCAGTGCGGTAACCACTTTCCACAAAGATAAATAAAAACTGCTCCTAGCCAGGGGAATACCCCTCATCCAAAACCTTATCCTTATCCTTTGCCCAGCCCCGCACTTGTGGTCAACAAAAAGAGTTGAATTGGCTTTTGGTTTGCACTTGCATTGCGTTTTCCCGGATTGAAGTTCCCACTCTTGCGATGATTGCTGCTGCTTGATTACCAAGCACTCAATGCGTAAAGCTCGAAAGAACTCGGAATTAATAGGTTTTAAAATATTAAAAAAACAATGTAGTTGTTATCCGTACTCAGTCTCGTGTAATGAAACCCCCAACATTAAGCTAATTGGATGGGGCCATAGGATAAGGATAAGATTAGATCGAGGCGAAAGTGGCTAACTCAGCATTAATGAAAAGCTCACCATTAGGGAAATTGGACAGCGCATTTGCTTGTGAACTCGCAACAGTTTCGTTTCAAATGTTCCACTATCTATGGCTCCTGCTGGGACTGCGATCCCTGGCAATGGGTGCACTGCATCCGCCGCAGCCGGAAGTTGTGACACCTCTGGTTGCAGCTGCCCTGGAAATTCTGGCCGACCAGGTCAGCCCATCGCAGAGCACACTGGCCGTGATGGATCTAACGCAGGATGCCGAGCACCGGGATCACCGCCAGGAGCAGCTAATGACCATTATGCTCAGAACGTTGGGATCAGAGATGGCTCTGAGAACGTTCCAGAAGCCACCCGCCGAAGTTCCAGCCAAGTATGTGGTGTTTCTGGTCAATTCCGCCCAGGCCTTTAACACACTTGGCTTTCACTTCACGGACATCCACTCCACGCGGGAATTCAACTTCCTCATCCTGCTGACGCGTCGCATGTCCTCACGAGCCGAGCGACTTCAGGTGCTGCGGGATATATCCAGGACCTGCGTTCGATTTCACACTTCCAACGTTATTTTGCTGACCGAGAAGAAAGCCGGTGTGGTCCTGGTCTACGCCTATCGCCTATTTAATATGGACTGCGATCTCAGTGTCAGTCTGGAGCTGATAGATGTGTATGAGAATGGATTATTTCGGCATGGCCACCAGGCCAGGTCCTTCAACCGCGGCCTGAGTCTCTCCGGCTGTCCACTGCAGGTCAGTTGGTATCCATTGGCGCCATACGTGTCCTTCATCGGCAACTCGAGTGACGCCGAGGAGCGGGCACAGACCTGGCGACTAACTGGCATCGATGGCGAGCTTATCAAACTGCTGGCGGAGATCTTCCACTTTCGCATTCTGCTCGAGGAGCCGTGCGATAAGTGCCTGTCCCCCGACATCAAAGACGATTGCAGTGGCTGCTTCGACCAGGTGATATGCAGCAACTCGTCCATACTGATCGGCGCCATGAGTGGTTCGCATCAGCATCGATCGCGCTTCTCCTTCACGAGCTCCTACCATCAGAGCTCCATGGTCTTTGTCATGCACATGAGCTCTCAGTTTGGAGCGGTGGCCCAATTGGCGGTGCCGTTTTCCATCATCGTTTGGCTGGCACTGGTGGTTTCCAGTGTGCTGCTAGTTCTCGTGATCTGGATGCGGCATCGACTCGTTTGCGGACAAACTGATTTGGCCAGGCATGCCCTGCAGGTGCTCACCACGCTAATTGGAAATCCCCTGGAGGCAAGCAGCCTGCCCAGGAGTGGACGTGTGCGCATCTTTTATGCGGGCTGGTTGCTCTTGGTCCTGGTCCTGCGAGTCGTCTACCAGGGCAAGCTGTTCGACTCCTTTCGATTGCCCTACCACAAGCCCCTGCCCACCGAAATATCGGACTTGATTCGGGCCAACTACACACTCATTAATCAGGAGTATCTGGACTATTATCCGCGCGAGTTGACTGTGCTCACCAGAAACGGATCCAAAGATCGTTTCGATTATATCCAAGGACTGGGCAAGGAGGGCAAATTTACGACTACCTCGTTGATCGCACCCATGGCGTCGTACAACATGATGCACTGGAGCACCAGTCGATTGACCCACATCAAGGAGCACATCTTCCTCTACCAAATGGTCATCTACTTGCGTCGCCATTCGCTGCTAAAGTTCCCCTTCGATCGGAAAATCAAACAGCTCCTGTCGGCCGGTATCATTGGATATATGGTGCGCGAATTCGATGCCAGTCAGTACAGGAAGCCCTTTGAGGAGGACTACGAGGTGTCACCCATTCCCTTGGACTCCTTCTGCGGTCTTTACTATGTATCGGCGATTTGGCTGTCCGCCGCTGTGGTTGCCTTTATCCTGGAGCTTCTCAGTCAGCGGATTAGCTGGTTGAGGAGGATCTTTGAGTAGTTGACTACCTTTAAATTTTAATATATATGTACTTACACACTTTTTTTTTATTAATCTAAAAATATAATACAAATGGTGTCTGTTTAGCGCTAATACAATCATATATCTACTTAGCTGAATTAGAGCTAGTCGAAAATTTCAAATCTACGTCCTCGAATCGCCATTTGGATGGGAAGTTGTGGCACTGCCGCTGGCATTTCGATTGTGGCATTAGAAGACAATGGAAACTCCTCGTTAGCCGGCAACAAGGCAACAAAATCAGGAGGAGTTTTGGGAGGTAAAAATATAATAGGACACAAACAAGACACGTCCGACATAGAACGAACTCATTAGCCTACATGCCGCACTTTCCGCCTTCACATGTGGCAGCATAGGAGGGGTAATACATATGTACGTACACCAGCGGTGCAGTTGATAGCACTGAAACTGTTTTTAAAATATGCAACAATATAGAATTGATGTGGAAATTAGTAATTTGAATTGTAAAAATATCATTCCTTCATACTGTAATTATAATTTATTCCTAAAAATCGCAAAATATAACATTAACTACAGCACACATTTGCCTTTAAGAAGAATCATTAGGTGTGTTGTACGAAAGGTCCTGTTAAAAGGGGCGGGTTAGGGGGGCGAAAAAGGGGCGTTTTGGGTGGCTGAAGGGCACAGGTTCCCAAATGAAACACGAATGCGATGTGGCTGGTTGCAGCCGTGTGCTTTCCCTTTTTGCAACATATTTTGTTTGCTTAAATGCCGGAAGTGCTGCAGGTCACATCAGGAGTGGGCGTGGTCGCCGCCCAAAAGTGCCTGCAAGCAACAAATGTTGTCAGCATGTGGAATTCAATTACAAGGTCATAAGTCACTGTCAGCAGACTTCAACCCATTGGGGTTAAAATAATAAAGGAATAAGCCAAAGTCTTGTGTGATTTTTTTAGCCTTAAATAATAGGATACCTTTAGAAGATGTCACAAATAATTATCACAATTATTTTAAAAATTATTATTAAAAGAATTCGGGCAATATTTCGATTACAACCATCTTTAAGTTTACAGTTGCGCATAAAGAATTTGGGGAATATTTCCAATGTGAAAGGTCTTCAAAGATGTCACAAATAATAATTAAAATGTTAAGTATTCAGTTGGGCACAAAGAATTCGGGGAACACATCCATTGTGAAAAGAGCCACGTATATAATGACTAGTTCGCCAATTATCGGCTGCCAGTTGCCACAAAACTCACTCGTAATTATGACTTTTAGTCGCCACTCGACACACAAAAGTGTGTGCTCTAATGATGAGATTTACCTGGCCCGTGTATTAATTGCACTTAATTGTTGGCTGTGGGTGGAGTGGTGGGGCGGGTAGATACTCGTACCATTTGTCTCATTAGAGGAACATAGCCAACCAATGGGCGGGCACTTCACACCCAGTGGATACCGGCGAAACTCTGTGTGATAAGAGCTGATAACAAAGGTAAACAAAGCCGTCGCCAGATGGATGCCCTGATGGCCTCCATCATCGAGTTTGGCGGGAAACGCTGTAATTCGTCAGATATTCTGCCGCCCACGGCGCCTGCGCCTCAAAAATCCGACATTCGATGGTCGGCGTTGCGTCGGTTTTTGTTCCCACATTTGTGGGTATAAGAGCCACAAACCAGTATCTAACTGTGGCACACAGAAATATCGGGAAATTTATGCAAGATAGCGAGCCAAATGCGGGGCTTGCCCGCCGCTGAAGATCAGGATCAGCATGCGATTATGTCTAATGAAGTGCCAAAATATGATTTCCTCACAAAGTGCATTTTAAACAGCTTAAAACTGGGTCTAATTAGTTGCCAAAAATTAAATTCAGCACAAGGTCTGACTGTACATATGTTAATATCTCAGAGTGCACTTCATTTGGCCTTGATATTTCTTCCATAAAAGCGAACTGCCATTTGGCCATCAGCACAGTTGAAGCTCACCGACGAAGACATTAAGATGCTGAAACATTCCATGATCCTGCTGTGCATCCTTTTGGTTGCCATCTGTTGTTTCGCGGCGGAGCTGCCGGGAAATGCATACTTGCCACCATTGCGGCATTATCAGCAGGTGCCCGAGAATTTCCCGCCAGCGGAAAACGGATTTCTCGACCAGGATTCTGACCACGATTCTGATTCGTTTGGAAGGTACGCACCCATCTTTGTGGACTATCCGGGAATTCACGCGTTGCCAAGACAGCAGCAGGAATACGCATTGGATCTGCCGTTCGAGGAAAAACACCATTATCGCAAAGCATCAGGACTTGGAAATGAATAGAAACTGACGGGCGTCCTTCGAAGTAAGACAATAATAAATAAAGGCAACGACTAATGAATACGAATGCTAAATGTTTGGTCAAGAATTTATAGCTGTGCAGGCGATAAGAGCATTTATCTTAGAGTTACCAAAAAACGCACCATTTTGGAAGCGACTTAAGCCACTTTGGAAGGGCCTTCAGTACACCAACCATTGTACGTTATTTCTGAGTGGCCTTTATTTTTGGCTAGAGTGTGGAATGAAATGTGTGCAACTTTGACTTTTCGTCAGTGAAGTGTATAACCGCAACTAAATCCCCGACCTGTCCTTAGCCGTATCACAAACTTTTAGCCCAACTCGGTTTTTGGCTTGGACTCCGCCCCACGCCCCCCGCCCCTGGCATCTACAGTGTGCGTGTGTGTGTGAGTGTGCGGTTTTAATCAAGTTTCGCCACTTAAGTTTGTGCTCAGGTGGAAGCACTCAAAAGCCGCCTGACCGAACCGAACCGAACCGAACTCCAGTGAGCTGAAGCCCCCTTTCGGCGCGCCCCTGCCAAAGTTTCAAGAGCTTTGCGACGCGTTGTGTTGCTGCTGAGTTTCGTTTTTGTTATTAATTTTTTTGCTCGGCGCTTGTGTTCTATGGCTTTAGTTTTTTGGAGGCCAGCGGGAGGATGGGTGGTCTTCTATGTGGTCTACTCGGCGGAGAGTGGATGGTTTTCGGCCAGGTGGGTCAACCTGTTACACATCTGTTTCGCTGCAGGTCCGTTTGCCATTGTTCACCCCCCTGCCCCCAGCGCCGCAGCTCAACCGACGCTGCTGGTAAAACTTTAAAATCAATTAAATTGAGTGCCAGCATGATTGGGCAAAATGATTGTGCAAATGTCTTGTGGCGCCATTAACTAAACTCATTCAAGTTATTTATCAAAAAGGGTAACGTCGAGGCACTCGGAATGTACATTTCAATTTGTATGTCATGAAAGTATTAATACTTTCCAGTAAATTATGGAGCAAAATCTGCATAAAAGTCGCACACAACGATTTCATTAAAAAGTAGCCAGTAGAGGGCGAAATTTGTACTATATCTACTTGGGAAAAAACCCAGACCACGAAATCCAAATTGCTGCCCTCATGAATGAAGCGTGAACTCGCATCCAGCCATATTAGTGTGTGTTAGTGAGCCAAAGTCAATTGTCAAATTGACGCACACATACGCACACACTGAGAGCGACATATGCTGGCGAGTGTGTATGTGTGTGTGTGTGTGTTTTGTTGTTTGCTTCATTATTTGCCAAGTAAAAGTAATGAGACTTTTGTTGCCTTGTTGGGTTGCACATGAGTGCGCCTTCTATGAATTCTTTGTGCTTGCACACACACACACACACACGCACACACACGGATGCAAGCACAATGCAATGCGTTTGCAGAAAATAAGGTTTCACACACACACACGCGCGCGCTGTATCTGTGTGAAAGTATGTGAGCGTTAGCCCTTTGTGTGTTGGGCAAACAAAAGCGCAAACCGTTGACAGACAGTGGGTCGCACAGTGGGATGACAGTCAAACAATAACTAATTAAATATTTAGATACAGCCCCCTGATCTCAAGCGCAGTAGCAAAGGTTCCTATCCGAGACATCCGTGAGATACAAGTTACGAGTTTATGTCAACTAATTACAGCTCGAATTTGTCCCAGTGCAGCTTGGCAACAACAATTGCGGGGCGCGGGGGGAGGTAAACAAAGTAAAAGCATTCGGAAATGCAGGAGGCAGTGGGCCTGGACTGCAATTTCGGTGGATAAGTGGCCAGGGCTCCTGCGGGGAATGCATCCTGGCTGCTGGCCAGTTTGCGATAAGAACCAGCTCCAGGCTTCCACTTTGGCTCCTCCGCCTGGCTGCTGCCATTTGGGCTCTGGCCTCATATTACCGATAGAAAATAAATGAATTTTCATAATAATTGGCTTACGCTTACAGCGCTTAACCCGCTCGTCGCCCAGAAACCAACTCACTGCATCGCCCGGAAGTTTCCAACCCTTTTGTCGGAACTGGGCGCCAATAATAATAACATTGTTAACACAACGTGCGCATGTAATAAAATCGTTTATTGAATTGGCCATAAATTTTCGCAGCTACAACAGCCGCAAAAGGCGCACAAGTCAAAAAGTTGCAGTCCACAGGGGGCAGTAGGGGGTTAAGGGCACCAGGGATACAGCCATTGAGGGCTTGCCTTTTGTGCAAAAGTTTAGAGTGTGGTGGAGTTTAGGCGGGGGAAAGGGGCGAGTTGCTCGAAGGAAAAGCGAGAAGGAAAGCTCTCAGGAGGGTGAGGGGTTGGGTGGCTTAAGCCGCGCCCTGCGTTGGGTTAACCCATTTGGGGTTGGGCTTTTATCTCTATATCCTTCACCTGTAAGCTGCAGCTAGTTCAACTCCGCTGCTGAATTGCTTCAAGCAGTCGAACTTGAGTGTAATGAGCCTTAATGAGGTTAAGTAATTAAATTGGCCGTCAGCCAGCGCGCTTAAATTGGTAAAGTGATCTTTAGTGGTTCTTTAACTGAATCGGTTTTTAAACATTTCTTCTATCTTCTAAGCGTTTGAGCCAAATCAACAATATTCCTCTTCCTTTGAGGCTGTTGTTCTCTGCGTTTGTAATTAAACAAGCTGATTTTCTACGCGAGTGATGCGAATCCTTGGAGGACATATGTATGTAGCACACTGCGTCCATTAATTTGCGCGGCGTTTTAACTACCAACATAAATTGCATGTGGTGTCATTAATAAGCATAAAAGCGTCTTCGAAGGGGGTGGAAAATCAGTCGGAAAAGCGCCTCCTTGGTGGCCACTTCGGTGTGCCGAAGGACTCGCTTAAAATGTTTTCGCTGCTGTTCAATAATATCCCGCAAGACGGCCAACAGCAGAGGAGGAGGAGGAGGAGGAGGCGGATGAGGAAAACAAGGACGCATCGAGGACGAAGATGCGACAGCGACTAATGAGCTTGATAAACGAGCCGAGGCGATAAGATCCTCTTTCTCCCTTGTCACTTGTTTGCTTAAAAAATTGCGCGCTCAATGAAGTGATGTGTAAATAACGGTATTATATTTCAAAAGGCTTCGCATCTCATTTAAGCTTAACTTTAACCCACCCACTCCTCCCAGCAGTCCGCTTCGTTAATTATTGGATGGATATGCAACAGGAAGTGCAGACTGCGGATTGAGCTGCGGAATGGGGTCTTATCCCGCCAAGTGGTGCAAGTGGTACAAAGGACATTCCACACGAGGACTTGCCAATGGTGAATAATGAATGGCATTAGGCTGGCAACAATAGCAGAGCCTGTACTCCTTCGAAATCACATTTTTCTGTTCCCATGCTCCTGGCTTATTGGAGCATTTTGCCAGAAGTAGCCCGATGCACTCAAAAAAATCGAATCAATTTTAAAGTTGTCAACCCTTTGTGAACTTTGACCCGTCTTTCAGCTTAAAGTGTAGGTGTACATTCGATACATTTTTTTGCTCAACGCTTCTACCGCTGGAGTGAGCGTAATTTTTCTGTCAGTGTGCCCACTTCACTTTACTTTTAATATGTTAAACTGCGAGACTTGACGACGCACAAAAGTGCGGCATGCCAAGCATGTGGACCATTACGCCCCAACCCTAGGGCCACCCTTCAATTTGCCCGCCCCTCCCCTCCCCTCCCGCCAGCCAGCCATCTAATGTGGAGTTCATGAAAAAAATGTAAAGAAAGGAGAACAGAGGCGGGGAGCGAGGGGGCGGGCGGGGAGTATGTGCAGAGGGGCAGATAGGACACAAAGCAAATGCACAAACTGTAAAACTGTAGCCAAGCACTTTTTGATTTATGGAGAGCCAAGCGGGACTAGGTTAGGCACAGTGGGCTAAAAGGAGGGGGGAGGGGGCTTTTCTATGGGGGAGCGCAGTTTGGTCGGAAGTGTAGACAATTTGTTAGAATTTATACAAAAAATGCAGGCCGCTTTGCCCGAGATAGAAATGGGGTATATGTGTGAATGTGAATGTACATATACATTTGAAGAGGCACGGGAAAGCAGCTCCTTTTCGGCCATATAAAACATGAGAGGCATTTCATTTTAAAGCAGCTCAAACAAAACAAATGCCTCGGCTTTTGTGTGGACTGGCAACTAATGATTTTCACTTACCACAGCGACAGAGGAAAAGCTGGCCCAAAATGTGGGGGGCGGCTAGGCCCCACCAGCCATACGGAATCTCAGCACAGATTTACATGACATTATGTCATTGTTGTTGCCACTGCCACTGCTGCTGCTGCTGCTGCTGCTGCTGCTGCTGTCTGTCTGTTTTTATGACGTCAATTATGTTTATGAGTGTCTAAACAAAAAGTCTTATAAAGCCTGCAGCATTGCCGTTGTCCCAGCACATGAGTGGGTGGTCCTGGCTGCCCACATCCTCGCAGTAGTAGTTTGAGTTTAAGTGAATTTATTACCATGAGCAAAATTTATTTAAGCAGTCAAATGCACGTGAAGTGCATCTCAAGAAAGCTGTCACACAGCCTCCCTCCCCCCGCCTTTCAGACTCGCCTTTCCACTCGGTCGTCAAAGGAAGGACGCAATGGTAAGGATGGCAAGGAATCGGGGAAAACCGGTGCCAAGCTGCAGACACATGCATGTGTAGCAAGTTGCTGTTTTTTTTTTTTTGTTCAGGGTCTTCTTTTCGTATTAGGGGCTGTCGGGTTTGTAAAACGCATTAAACTTATTCTAGAAAAAGTTAAAATTAATAATAATAATAAAATAATAATATTTAATAAAAATAAATTTTTATAATTATTGTATTTATTAATTCTTTCACTAGCTAATAATATTAAAGAACAAATTCACAATCTTAATAGAATTAATCCATAAGATAATTTATCAGAATTATAAACGAATTTTTTGTTGGCCAGACGTAAAAAAGGCTTGCTTAATTGTCCTGTGCTGTTATAGAAATAATATTAAGGCAATGCACACCAAATACAGCTTGACTCAGCTTAAGCTTATAAATATTTTTGTTTTCTCTGATTAGTTTAATGCTTTTCCGACTTGTCCAATTTGTTGACTCACCTTCGTGTGGTGCACTTGTGACTGACAACTGACTGACTGACAACACTCGCACACACAGACACTTACGCAGACACAGACACAGACACACTCGCAGGACACCCGCCCACCCACACACAGCCACTCACACACACCAGCACACTCACAAGGCTCGGGGCAATGCAAATTCAACTTTGCCGCTGCTCGAAGCAGTTGTCAGTAATTTCCAGCGAATGGCAGCCCAGGACATTTCACAGAGCAGCAGCAGAAGGACACGACGCAGGAGCAGTAGCTGCGGCAGGATGCGATGGATCGGGATCACAAACGGGAGCATAAGCATCAGCATCAGCATCAGCATCAGCATCAGGAGGAGCAGCAGCAAGGGCTGGAAATGGAGGCTGCAGTGCCAACATTGACGAGGACAACTCCTGCTGCAGTTGCAGTTGCTGGTTGCCTGAAATCAAATCAAATTCCCGACAAACATCAACAACAACCAGGACATGTCAGTAATGTCATGTGTGTGCGTCAGGATAATCAGCGTGATGGGGGGAAATTGAACAACAAGTTCCCGATAGCATGTCTTGGCCAGAAATTACAATTTTTAATGCCAAACAATTTGGCCTGGCTGACAGGCATTGCCTGCCTGCTTTTAAAGTTTACCCACAATGTGGTTAACAATTTCCGGTTGCTCTCCATCTTGGCCACCAAAGGTGGATACAATGAGTTACCAATGAATTTATTGCCGTATTTATCAGGTCCTTGAGTTGAATTCACTTGCTCAAGTGATAATGTCCGGCGATTTTGGTGGCCAACTTTTAATTCAATTTATTTATGCACGATTTGGTGTCCTTGAGGGGCGGTGGGCGGTGGGCGTGGGTACACCTACAATTTCCGCATGTCAACTGCACTTTGCATGAGTGCTCAGCGAGGGGGCGTGGTTAGTGGGGGCGTAGCGCACACAAACACACTCACCCACACACTTGTGCCACATCAGCACTTCAACTCTTGACTCCTCGACTTGGTTGTGCTTTTCCACTGGATCGTCATCATCATCGGTGTGGTTCGCATTCCCAGTTCCATTTTCCTGACCGGGTTTTCCGCTTTCGCCGAACTCAGTGCTTTGTTTTTTTTTCCCTCTCTGTGGCATTTCCACTTGATTTACAAAACTCAACGCAACAACGAGGATAAGGGGCAAGTGGAGCAACAACAAAGCAGCATTTGACTGACTGACTACTGACTGCCACGCCCCCATAGGCCCCACTATACCGCCATGCCGCCCACTCACTGTCTGAGCGTGTTTCTCTATGTGTGTGTGTGTGTGTGTGTGTGGCCTGTTATAGAGTTGATTTATATGCACGTCGATTCGACGTAATTGAAGACGTGATCGAAATTCAAATTTTTGATTTTTAGAACCCGTGACTGGATTGGCATTTGTACAAGGACCTTCCGTTAGTTCCATCTACTGACTGCCTGCCTGTCTGCCTGCCTGCCGCTTTCCCCATCTCCTTTTTGGCTTAATGTGAATTCGGTTTTCCATTCTCTTCGCCTTGTATATGCTGTAAAATAATTTTCATCTTTTTTCGGCTGCTGCCTTTGGCAACAAGTTGCGAATGGTAGGTTCCTAGAAATGACATCCTTTTGAATGAAGTCGGGCTAAGACTGAAATAAACTCTTCCCTGATTACTTGATTATTAATATCAATCAATTATGTATAGTATATACACCCAATACTTACTTTGCTGCTGCCTGATAGACGCCATAAACCATTACGACATTAATAGCGTATAATTCAAGGGTATTTGCGGTCGTATACTTGCAGATTAAGTCCCTCAACTTGTTTGTCGGTTCTCCGCTGAGACGAGTTCCATCCCATCGCCCTCTCGATCTGTTTGCCATCCCAATCCGGAGCTCAGTTCCTGGATTTAACTTGGTTCTTCGGTTCTGTCGGGCCCTTTCCAACCCAAACTCAAACTCGGTTAAATCAGCCATGAAAACGGATTGTCGTCTGTGCATTTTTGCATTTCTTTTGCTCATTTCATTGACTGTTGGGCTGGTTGGAGTGACTAACTGAATGAATGAGGGCATAAGGGAATGAGTGAATGAGCGAATGAGCGAATAACTGAGTGGCAGGGCCTGACAAAACGTGACCTGCTGTCATGTCTAACAGTTTTCAATAATAATGGCGGCCCTGTCCGCCCACATTTTCCACCTTTTTCGCATTTTCCGACGCCCTCTTGCTTATTAACACCACCTTCATCTTGGGGATTATGTGCTCCTCACACACACACACACACGCACGCATTCGACTGACATTAACTTCAACACCTGGTGGGAAAAGTGGTCGTGGAAAGGCGGAAAAGCCGGCCAGAGTGGGCGGTACATCTCGCACTCATCCAGATGCTAATGGTTGTGTTGTCGACACTCCAGACACTTGCAGGCATTATGTGTCACCCGTTTGTTGCTCCTGGGCTTCCACCTCCTGTCACTTCCCAACTTTTCCACCTTGATTCTGTGCTTCTGGCTCTGAGAGTTCGTAGGCTCGGTGATGGGAAGTGACTTTGTCCGTTAAAGTCACAGAAAGAATCTAAATCAGTTTGCTGGAAAATGTGTGAATGAAGTTGTTGAATTATATGCGCAACAAGACTTTTGAGGCCTTTTCATGTTACTTACGCAAAGTCTAAATATTGATTATCCGACAGTGAGTCGCAGTATTTTGCCAGACCGTGACTTTAACCCTTTCAAAAGGTGATGTGAGTGTGTGGAACTGTCTGGATGTGAATGTGTTCCATTGAGGTTGCCTATGCTGCGGCTGTTGTGCTGTTGTGCTTTTGTCTTATGTTTCGTTTGTGTTCATATTTACATAATTGTGGTTAAAAGTAGCTTTTAAGATGTTTTTAACTGGCGCATGGAGAGGAGTGCCCCCCCGTTTTCCATTTAGCCGGCTTGGCCTTTGTTGGCATCGCCTGCATTTAATGGCTCCGCAGTAGCAACAGCAACAACTGACAAATGCTAGAATCCTTGGCCAAATAATCCCTTGATCACCAATCCCAATGGCTTGACAATTTAATAAAGAGTTGCGGCATAAACGTAGAACAACTTTAGATACAAGTACGTCGGTTTATTTTGGCCGACAAAAGCAGCATTTTTTCACAATTTACACAGAGAATGCTGAATGCAGAAAATATTTTTGGCAAACCTCAAACATTTCATTTCGAATTTTTCCTTCGATTCTTTTTTTGTTACTCATCTCAGCTTTTTTGTGCCTGCATTGCTAGATGAATTTGTTGGCAAAATTGTTTTGGGTTTTAAAATATTGAAGAGGGGTGTGCGGTGATGGTGGTGATGGAACTATCTACATATCCGTTTGTGTTTAGTTAGGGGTACCCACTTAGCCACCCCCCCAACGCCCACCCCTTGCCATCACTAAAAATGTTTGTTGGTTTCTCTCAGAATCCGAATTTCCATTTTCCCCTCGCTTTTTCCCCATAGTTTTCCCTTCAAGCTTGTTAGCAAACGTTTACGCAAGTGGGCGGCTCTATGTGTGTGGGCGTGGCACTTGATGGGCTGCTGCTTTTGTTGTTGGCAGCCACGGAAACTTTAACTTTTTGGCAACTTCGTCTGGCCAGGGGGCATCAAGGGGTTAAAGGTGGTCAGCCGCATAAGGCAAAATTGTGGCCGAGAAAGCTCAAAAGCGCCGCAAAGCGGAGTACAAGTGAAAATGGCTAAATCTAAGCGGTAATGGATTAGCCAAGCATTGTCTAAGGTGTTCCCAAGATTTCCCTTAGTCAAATATTTTGCGTTCGATAAGGACAATTCAATTAGGTCTTTGCATAAATGTATAGTAAGATATTTGAGTAAACTTAGCAGGCCAATTTATATCCCTTCACAGTCTCAACATTTTATTTTTCTGTTCGCAAGGCTTCTTTTCAGCTATCAAAACAAATTTTTCAAATATATATTTTACAACTTTTTCTTAAAACGAAACAAAGCGAACATGAGGAAAAGGCCTTTTGGACTGCCCATGTGGACGCCATTGTTCATCCTTTTCTTGCTTTTCCTGGCCGGCGTTTGGGGTAAGCCTTCGTGTAAGCCAAAATCACTGTGTATACATATGTTAGCTTAAAAATTAATATCTCTTAATTGCCCAATAGCTGGCGTAAATCGCCATGGTCTGCTGGAACTGTATCATCAGCGGGTTTATGGATCTCCTCTAACTAAGAAGGTAATCGAGTGTCCAGGGGACGGAATGATGAATTTCAAGAAGAGTCGTTTCGATAGATCAATGAATCGTAAGCATATCGAATGGCATTTGTTTTGTTCTTATTATCAGGGACTTGGTTTAGCTTTCAAAGCGTTTCTTTCTTGGCCGGGTAAACACCACAAAGTTGATAAGGCTGATAAATATAAGCCCGCTGAAGATGATTTTTATGGCCAAGAAGAAATATCTAAGTGCCAACACGAAGAGCTTCCTTTTGACCATGGAGATCACTTCAAGCTTGATGCAGATCACCTCCATCAGGGTTCAGACCACTTCATTAAGGATGCAGATCATTTAAGTGCGAATGCAAATCACTTAAATCAGGATGCGAATCAATTCCACGTTGATGCAAATAACTTGAATCAGGAGCAGGGGTTGCTGGGCAACTTTCAAGGTAGCTAACCGAATTGTATTAGCCTTTCCGAAAATCTTAGAACTTCCATCAATTCTAGCTAACAAGCCCGGACTGGTCAATAGTCCCATGATGGACTATAAACGTGAATTCGCCAGCGATGATGCCAATCCCTATGTCGAAAGCCTTCAGCAACGTTATGAGCCCTTACCACAAGCCTATAAGGATTAATCCATCATCCTAAAAGGGCACCATGTATATTTTTCTATAAATTGTTAAGTATTTAAAGCTTACTATTGCTAAAATACATATTGCGAGTTCCTAAAGAGTGAGTTACAGTGCACAGCGCAAGACACTGCCATTAATTTCTTTCAGCTGAGACAAGTTGAAACTTAATTTATTTTTTTTGACAAAACAATACTTAATTATCTCGTGTGCGCCTGTCCAATTTCAACTGTCAGTGGGGGGGAAAAGTGGAAGATGGGTGGGAAATGGAAAACGGAAAAAGTGGCTTGATCGGTGATTTGCGTGGCGCCCTCTGTCGTACAATTTGGGGCAATTACCAAGCGATTAAAGAAGAGTTTTCGCGGGAAACTCCGTGGAAAAAGTGAGGAAAGTTTTTCGACCAGAGCAGCTGGCGCGCAATAAACGTAATCAAATTTAATTTCAACAAATTGCTTTTGAATTACGCGACCTTCGCTGGCGCCGTTCAAGCGCAAAAGAGTTGGAAAATTGTTAAAATAATAATAACTTTTCACCCGCCACCCCTTCGATGTGCTTGTGCTGCAGAATAATTGCCACAATAACAACAGCAATTTGCGCTTGAAATAATGGAATGAGTGGCCGCCCACGCGGCGTATACGTAATCATAAAAATTATGATTCATACACCCAGACAGACAGACGGGCAGACAAATAAAATGCGGCAAAAATCGGACGTGGATTCGAGTTAGAGGAGCTCCAAGCTCTGTTCCTAATAAACAAATTAATTTGATTGAAGCCCGAATGCAAAACTTTCCATTACAAGTTGCAAAAGCAAATTCATTTTGGATTTTCCCCATCTACTCTAGTGGTGGCAATTCCATTTGCGAGAATTAGCTTCAGGGAAAGTTTCTGCCTTAAAATTGCAGCGAAAGTGCACCTAAATTGAATGGTTTGGCATTACAGTTTTTCACGTGCATTTTTGTGTGTGAGAGCGTTTCATTCGTTACTTATTATCTTCATGTTGCCGCTTTTGAAAGAAGTTTGATGAAATTATGTCAAACGAATTGACGGATGTTTGGCCTTTTATTTTACCCAGAAATCCTAGTGAAATCCCAGTGAAATCCCAGAGAAATCCCAGTGAAACCCCAGTGAAATCCCAGTGGAAAGCGACTAATTAAGGCTTTCATCGTTGGCCCGTTTGTTCCCAGGTAATTTACATGTAAACAATTGCCCGATCCTGTTTGTTTGCTCTTGTTTTTCAAGTCCTATTTTTGTATTTTTGTTTTCCCATTTCAGTTTAAGCCATCATCAACTGACAATTTTGCGGCTCTGCGATGTCCTTCTTGCCGCCCGTTGCACATTTACATTTTGGCCAAAAAGGGTGGAGGACGGACGGGTCGAAAAGTCAAACTAATCTAACAACTGCTAACAATAAGAACCAGGATTTTCCCCATTCCCCATACTCTGGTTTTTTAGCGGGCCATCTAAGCGCCAAGGGCAGCCACTGGTTTTTGCCCCCATTTCCCAACAATTTTCCCCCGGCATTTTCCCGGCTTTGTGCAAGTTGTTTTAACAAAGCATTTTGTAGTTGGCAAATATATCTCTGTGTATCTGCATGTGTTTGTATATATCAGTATATGTGTATATATGTGTATATATGTACGTTGACAATATTGCGTTGTCAGTTGTTGTTTTAATTAGAAAACTTTTTTACCAAACAACAACAGCAGCAAAAAAGCAGCTGGAGCAACAGCAAAACTCAAAAAACGATTTTGAACGGCACTGTATTTTCATTCGCCACCGCCCCCTGCAGTATTTGCATTTTCTATTTTATTTTGCTGCCTGCCAAATGAATAATGAATTTCTCTTCATTTTCACATTTTCGGGTTTCTGCTTCTGTTTTCCTTCTGCTGTATGTATATATATAAAAATATATATATATGTGCGTGCTTGTTTGGGCCTGCATTACTTATCGCTAAAATTCATGGGCTTAAATAAAACCTTGCCACTTCAATCAGATCTACAAAGCAGATATCCTATCCTATTCATCTGTGGACCAAGAAACTGTAGTTACCCTCACTGCGAGTCCTTATTCCGCCATATCTTCAACAATTTTGTTGGTACTTTTCTTTTTGTTTATTTTGCAAAATTAAATCCAACGTTTTAGTTTTATGAGGCGAAACTTGCTTTGTTTGCTGATTGGGAAAGGCAAGGGGTTGGGGAGTGGTCGACCACAAAGCCATCTGCCTGGAGCGAGGTCACTCAACTATCAGATACCCTGCAATTGTATAGTGTTCATTTTCAGTGCTCTCAAGTCTTGCAGCTGAACTATTGTACTGTATAAATGCGCTGCAAAGGATTAGTAATATTTTCTTCAAACGCCCTCATTTACGTACATATTTTTTGGGTTTAATTCTTTGATACCCATTACAAAATGAAATTTTCGTGTTTAGCGCCATGCAAAATGGCATGCGATCAATTGGGAGAGTAAGTACTTGATCTGGGAAAGAATAGAAGTGAAAACGCTGCATCCGTGATACGCAAACACACACAAACAGACAGGCCCACATGTATTAGAGTGCGGTTTGTTGTCAATCTCGTTAGAAACGAATCCTTTCGTAATCCTTGTGCTTCAGCTGCAGCTTTTTTTTGTCGGTCTGTGTGTGTGTGTGTTTGTGTTTTTGTGTTTTTGCGTTTTTGCGTTTGCTTTATTTTTGTTGCCTGCCCCCAACGCTGACGTCACATGGCGGTTCATGCGTTTTTGCTGCTTAATCCGCCGCCACCATCAAGATGAGCTCCATGGGAGTACTTAGGGGGTATAAACTTGGGTCAGGGGGTGGCTCTATCCTATCACTATCACTACCTCCATCTCCATCCCCATCGGCAGCTGGGCAGCTGGGCATCTCGGCACTCGTCCATCCCACATGCAGTGCTTCCAATTTCACGACGAGCCCTGCAAATCCCACACAAGAAATTGTTTTCCAGTTATCTTTCATTTTCCGCCCTCGCTTCCTCTTTCTAATATGTGTGTGTTTTTTTTGGTAGCCAAAAAAGAATGTGGAAAAAGCCTTGTAATTGCTTGGGCTAGTTAAAAATGTTAAATGCCATTGCGACGTCTACAAATGGGCAACATTATTTATTTTCGGTACACTCCTGCCATCCAGCTAAATATGATTGATGGCCCTTGTCGCGTTACGTAATCGCTGTCCTGAGTGCGTGTGAGAGTTCGAGTTTGTGGCTGCGAGTCCTGCGAACTCAGGTCGTAAAATGCCATTATTTTAGCAGGTGTGCCACCAGGGGTGTTAACACTTTGTTGCCGCTTTTGAGTCACTGACATGCAGACGTCACAAAGTTGTTTACGTGATTTCCAGATAATTATCAGCATATTTTGTGCACTGAAGAAGAAAAGTGCCAGCATGTATATATAACAAAATACTGTGCTTACATTGTTATCTTTCTGTAAATACTTTGCAACTGCTTATATACAGTGTGTTTAAAAAGAAAACCCTCTGCCATAATATGTACTCTATTGATATTCAAGGTACTAAAATTGTTTTAGCTGCTGGCTTTAAATTTGTCCATACTCGAGTTATTTTTTCGATTCGATTGAGCTCAAAGGCAGCCGAGTCAAGGACAGGCAACAAACAGGAAACTCGGAGCATTCGAACGCATATTTACGCATTAATCAATGAGGCAAACACGGCAAGAAGAGGGAAATAAAAGTGAATGAAGGAATGGCCGAGATGGCGAACAGGTATTCCCCGCTCTTCCATATTCCATTTCCCATTTTCCATTTTCCGCCGCCGCCACTGCCGCCTTTCTTCCAGACGTTTTCCTCCCTCTCCGTCATCGACTCATTTCCATTTTGATCCTAAGCTTGGCCTGGCCTATTCATGTGGAAATTGAGTGCGGTTTGCGCTCCTAGTAAACATAGCAAAGAAATTCATATTTTCTTGAAAAAGTTTCGACTCTGTTGATACCTCTTGCTAAGTTATTTCAGCCAACATTATCAATAGATTATTTATTAGAATCAAAGATGGTGGAACTAGCCTTTGTAGATCCTTGCAATCTGGGCTTTTACAAAAGCCTAGGCTGCCAAAGGACTTTGTTGCCTGTGCATGGCTAACGAATACAGCATACCCATTCTATCTAAGATTGAAACAGATATACTCGAATTATTAGAATCAAAAATTCTGGGCTTTTACGAAAGCCTAGGCTGCCAAAAGACTTTGTTGCCTTTGCATGGCTAACGAATACAGCATACCCATTCTATCTAGGATTAAAACAGATATACTAGAATTATTAGAATCAAAAATTCTGTGCTTTTACGAAAGCCTAGGCTGCCAAAGGACTTTGTTGCCCTTGCATGGCTAACGAATACAGCATACCCATTCTATCTAGGATTGAAACAGATATACTAGAATTATTAGAATCAAAAACTCTGGGCTTTTACGAAAGCCTAGGCTGCCAAAAGACTTTGTTGCCTTTGTATGGCTAACGAATACAGCATACCCATTCTATCTAGGGATTAAAAGATACAAAAATGTTCGAATTGCAGGGTAGCGAGTGGGAGGGGACCGGCGCGTGACCCCTTAGGACATGGGCGCCATAATGATATGAGTCACTGACTCAATAACGACAACCGACGTCTTCCGCAAAGGGGGGTGCATAATAATCGGGAAAAAAGCGTGTAGAAAATCGGGCAGGGAAAAAAATGAGGATAAGTCTAGCGTTGACGTTCCATAAAGCAAATCAATTCGATGTTGCCGTAACAGTTTTGTTTCTTTCTGCTTATTTCAGCAAATTGTGTGTGCGCCCCGAGGGCCAAGAACGTTGGGCAAGGGGGGGAGGGGTGCGGCATGTATGTATATTGACAAGGCATATAAATAAATTATTAGCAAAATAAATGTTTAGCTAAGGGCGTGTGAGTGCCACCCCCTTCTCCCTCGGCAAATGTGGCGTTCCCGGCGAGCAAGTGTTTAAAAGATTAGAAGAGCGATAAATAGAATATATTACATTTGTAAATATGTATTTAATATGCAAACAT